TGAGAATCCAGCCATCAGATATTATAGAGACTTGCAAAATGGAAAATAACATTTTTCTCTTTTTTTTTGTTGTTTGGGAATACATGTATTTCTCGTTAAAATATGTCATTTATGTTAATATGTTATGGCTTATCACTATTATAAATTGACAAATAAATGTTAATATTTTAGACATTTCTCCATTTTAATTTTTTTTTTTTAAGTGACATGGTCCCCCTGTGTCACCTAGCCTACACTGCAGTGGTGCGATCACAGCTCACTGTAACCTCAAACTCCTGGGCTCAAGTGATCCTCCTGCCTCAGCTTCCCCAGTAGCTGGGACTACAGGCGGCATGGGCCACCATGCCTGGCTAATTTTTTAAAACTTTTTGTCAAGATGAGGTCTCACTATGTTGCCCAAGCTATTCTTGAACTCCTGGCCTCATGCAATCCTCCTGCCTTGGCCTACCAAAGTCCACTTTTAATTTCTAATCCAGTGAGTATCTGTAGAGGCAATTCACATAAACTCACAGAAACAGTAGCTTTGTAAGGTCCTAAGATGAAAATTTTTGAGAATCACCAGACTAGAGAAAGGGTAGCAACCAGGAGCTAGGGAAACTGTTCTCTGGGACCTGCTGTCTCATCATCTCCAAACACACCTCTCCTCCAGCCCTTTATGACTCATGCTGTTGATTATTTAAATGGGATCAACTTACACTAGTGTTCTTCACATAACAACATATTGTATTTGTGGAAATGCAGTATAAAATCCCCAAATGCCACAAAACTCCTTCATAATCACAGACCTTCTATTAAGTGGCAGAACTAAGAATGAACACATAGAATAATTATATGAGATTTTACCATGTGTCAATGGTTCTATTTTATGTCCAAAGTCTCCCTTTTAATATTTATTATTATCATTTTTAAAACCCTTCCATGGACCTGACGTAACTAAAGATATTGTCTAGCAAAAAAAACTACATCTGTTAAGTAACAGTAAATTCATTTTCCTATTTTAAATTGACTTTTAGATAATGAGTGATAAATAGCTCTTTATCTACATACTAGCAGGCAAGGCAAAAACCAATGGAATTTTAGTTTATCTGTAGTAATCATGTAATTTCTGTTCAGATTTTTGAAATTTTAAAATAGTAGACTCCTCCCTACCTAATCATTACCTCGATAAATCATTTGGGATACAGAAACTCAAGGCTGATATTTTCTGTGGCATGTTGGGTTTTGGTTTTGGTTTGTTTTTAATTTTTTTTTGGGGTTTTGGTCACTCGTCATGTTAAAAATAAGTTTGCCCAGTTTTTCTCAGTCATCAAACATCTGAGAGTCCAGGATTTGTATCCCTTAGAAGAATACAGTGCAGTTTTAGGGTTTGCAGCAAGATAGGTTATAAAACCTGGGTTCTAGAATCAAAAAGCAGCTTTTCACTTAATAGCTGTGTAAAGTTAGGCAAGTAGCTTAAGCTCTTTGAACTTCAGTTTCTTTATATCTAAAATGGAGTTAATGATATTAATATCTGCCTTATTTAGCTGGTGTGTGGCACAGGAAATGATAGCCATTATTATTATTAAGCAAATAAGCCAAGTTGTGTTATAAATCACGTATTGTTTTAAATGTTGAAATTATTGATATTTCATATTATTGACAATTTGTGACAATTTTTTTTTTTTTTTTGAGACAGAGTCTCACTTTGTTGCCCAGGCTAGAGTGAGTGCCCTGGCGTCAGCCTAGCTCACAGCAACCTCAAACTCCTGGGCTCAAGCAATCCCCCTGCTTCTGCCTCCGGAGTAGCTGGGACTACAGGTATGTGCCACCATGCCCGGCTAATTTTTTCTATATATATTAGTTGGCCAATTAATTTCTTTCTATTTATAGTAGAGACCGGGGCTCGCTCTTGCTCAGGCTGGTTTTGAACTCCTGACCTAGAGCAATCCACCCGACTTGGCCTCCCAGAGTGCTAGGATTACAGGCGTGAGCCACCATGCCCGACCACAAAATTTTTTTTAAAGAAACTTTTGTGATTGGTCCTTGGTACAATTTTGCTCCTCTAAATATTAGAATAAAACATGTGCATTTGTCAGTATGCAATTGCTTACACACATTTGAAGTTGAATAGTGTTGTCCTTGTCAAACTTAAAAATTGTTTAGGCTTATCTTTAGGCACAAAGAGCAATCTGCATTCTTAAATGCCACCGTGACCTCTATCCCATGGTTTAACAGCTGTAGGGCTACCCACAGAAAGAAGCTGGGCCTCTGGTTTCTCTTAGGATTTTAAACCGAATTAGGAAACTCTCCCACCCGGACTTCCTCACGTTCCTTCCCCTACCTGGACAACAAGTTAGTCCTTTCCATATCGTCTTTGAATTCCTCCTCACCCCTCGCAAATAAATTTGATATTTTTCTACAAATTTTATACTACCTTAATTAGCATTCACCATTATTTTGGGGGAGAGTCTGTATTCTAATGTCATGATACGGACTTCTCATGTCAGTGGAAGTTCTGACAATTAAGTGTGCTATTGAAATCCCACCCCCTTTAGTAGTTATGGCTGCATTTCTAAAATTTGTTATGGTGTTGGTAAAATTACATTAAAAGTAGATCCCATCGGCCGGATGCGGTGGCACACAGCACACCTGTAATCAATCCTAACACGCTGGAAGGCTGAGACAGGAGGCTCGCTTGGGGTCAAGAGTCCGAGACCAGCCTGAGCAAGAGTGAGACTGTCTTTACCGAAAATAGAAAAAATTAGCCGGGTGTGCTGGCACTCGCCTGTAGTCCTAGCTACTGGGAAGGCTTGAGGCAGGAAGATCGCTGGAGCCCAGTAACCTGAGGTTGCTGTGAGCTGTGATGATGCCACTGCACCCTACCCAGAGCAACAGAGTGAGACTCTGTCAAAAAAAAAAGGGGGGGGGAGATACTATCAATATGTTTATGCATAGCTGTAATAAAATAAAAACATCTTAGTGTCGTGTTGTGATAAATTCCGTAATTAAAGACTGTAATCCTTCCTTACCTTCCAAAGGTATTTCAGGGATTAATTAGAGCTTTTAATTGTGCATGAAGTTTATAGAGTAAGGGCACAAGCTTGTTACTATTACATACCTTTTTATTTGGATAATTTAACAGTTATCACTTTTAAAAGCTGCTTAGAGGCAAATTGCAATAGCCAGTCTCTAAATTTTTACATTGGACATTTCTTTTCTTCAAAAAAAAAAAAAATTACTGCTCCAGAAATGTATTTTTAATTTAGAGAAAAATGTGCTCATTTCCGAGGAAATGTAGATTTGGAGACTTATAATGCTTCTACGGTAATTTTGAAAACTCAAGTGCTGTGGTTTATCAAGTGAGGTAGGTTTTCAGGAAAAACCCAGCCCCTTTCGCCCCCCTCTTGGTCTGGGCCAATCCGAGCTGCCTGGGCTCCGCGCTCTCGGAAAGGGGCTGCGCCGCAGATGCCTGGCTTTGCTCGCAGACACACACCCTGCCAGAACCGGCTGAGTCCTCCCAGTGTCCCTTCGGAGAAGCCTCGGCATCGTTACCACAGTAATCAAACGTTTCTATGGATCAGTAGTTCCCAACTTCTCATAATGACCAGAACAGAAGCCCTTTTAAAATTCAACATGATTCAAGAGACCTCACCACCACTGCCATCCAGACTGCAGTAGCTGTACTTTTAAATTCTCTATTGAGAAAACTTAAAAACAATCTTTAAAACTGCAAAGCAGCCTGTAATTCTTTCAGATTGCTTTATTTATTGCATTATAGCATTCGAATACATCTGAATTTATTTATTTATACTGGACGCTAAGTTTGCAGGCACTGCTTGGTGCACAGATGGGCTTTGCCCGCCCCTTGCACAAGGAAGCCCCCAGACGCCCAGGGTCGCAAGCCCCAGGCCTGGCAGCTGCGGTAGACTCAGAGGCGGTGGGTCCCGCTTTCCACCCGAAACGTTTAAATTAGTCGGATTCCCAGGACTGCAGGGCGCTCTTCCTGCTCGTCGCCGGGGCACCGCGGTGCATCTGCTGCCCCCTATCGGTTGTGAAAACAATAACCCGAACCCGGTTGGAATCAACTCGAGGCCTTTCGAATAAAAGAATATTCCAGGACTACGCAGTAGCGAGAGGACTCTCAGAGAGCTTGTTTTCTGCAGAAGGCTCGGACTGCCTCGTTCGAACGCAGTTGTTCGCAAGTGAGGGAAAAAGCACGCTGGATCTGGAAAGGAATCTGACAATGTCTGCTTCGGTGAAGGGGGTGGGGGAGGTTCAAGATTCACCCAAGGGTCGATTTGTTTTCCACCCCCGCCCCCTCCCATCCAGCAACCCGCCTCAGCCCTATGAAAAGCACTCGCCCTCAGCCGGGAAGGGGACATGCCTTAGGGCGCGGTGCGGTGATTTCCCGGTCCCCTAAGGCACCTATCCCCTCATATTACACCTTGAGCAGAGTCCAGGGACCTACGCTGCAGAGGTGACTGAGGCTGCCCTCCCTGCGAAGCCGGCCTCAGCTGTGTGCAGCAAACACACTTCAAACGGCGCCTTACTTCTCGCGTCCCTTGGACAGGGATGTGGACATGCTTCAGAAAAGTAAAACAATTCCTGAGGAGGAAGCTCCTGGCTACCCCGCTACCACTGATGCCTGTGCATGTCAAATCTCCTAAGGCTGAGCTTTCAAAATTTGTCTTCACCTGGACACAGCCAAGATTGCTGGCAGGCTGGGCGTGTGTGTGTGTGTGTGTGTGTGTGTGTGTGTGTGTGACATACGCTGGCATTTATAATTTCGTTTTCCTTATTTTCTCCTACCTCATTACCACACCCCTCCCAATACACACACACACTTGGCAGTACCCTAACTTGCTCACTCATGTCCATCTTTGCCTTGGCGCTTTGGGGAAGAAGGTAAAAGGAGGCGGATGAGGGAAAAGGGAGAGGGGGGGAGGTACAATCGGCCCCCACGCCAGGCTGCGTTTGTTCGAGCAGGAACGGCGGCGGAGGTCTTCGGGAGGATAACGGAAATGCCCCATTACATGCTCGCCGCGCCGCTGTCGCGTGCCGGCGCCCCCAGCCTGCCGGTGGCGGCGGGAGGGCGGGCTGCGCTCGGCCCCCGGGCGTCGGGCTCCCCAGTGTCGCCGCGAGTCTGGGGACAGAGGCTGCGCCGGCGCCGCTCTCCCTCCCCGTTCGCCGTGGCGGCAGCCGCCGGCCACTGCCCGGCCGAGTCCCCGCGCCCGGGCGGCTGCAGGTGCCCAGTGGCCCGTTCCCGGCGGGAGTGAAACGCTGAGCTGGCCGGACCTTCCCAACGTCCCGCTCAGAGAGGGTCTCGGTGGCGTGGCGGAGGCCCCCGGGCCCGGTTCCCGCGGCCTGTGGGCGCGGCGCAGAAGGGCGCGGGCGGGCGGCGGCTGCTCCCGGGCGGAAGGCGCGGCGCGGCCACGGTCACGGCCGCCACCGGGGCTCGGGCGGAAGCGCGGGCTCCGGGAGGGAGGGGCTGCCGCGCCCAGCAGAGGCCCGGGGCCCCGGCCCCTAGCGGCGCCCCCGGGCAGGAGCCGACCCAGCGGCCGTTACGCTTGCGGGCGAGGAGGAGCCGGGTCAGGCTGAGCGCCGACCCCGCGCGTGGCGGGCGAGGCAGAGCCCACGCGCGTCCGCCCGCCCGCCCTGAGACTTGCACTTGCACACACCGAGCCCCGCTCAGGCCCCGGCAACCAGGCCGGCTGCTTCGGCGTCTGCCACCTCCAGGACCCGGAGCGTGCCAGCCCAGCCTCTCGGCGAGCTGGGACTTCCCGGATGGGGCCATGCTTTTCTTCCAGGACAATCAGGGCTCCTCCCTCCCGGCGATCTTTCTAGGAGGCCACCTCCAGAGATTATTCCGAGGCGATTTCCTCTCTGCCGGCACTACACTGGTAACTCTTTTCTCTGAGAACACCGAGAACCACAGGCTGAGTATTTGGCGAGGGACCACCACGACCAAAAAACACCCACACAGCCCAGTGTGCGTGGATTGTTTTGACCAGCTGGTTAATGGGGAATAGAAGTTCGCTATTTTTGATAGCCTTGATTTTCGAGCTTTTAAAAAGTTACTTTATTCTGTTTTCTGCTTAGACAACAACATGGAAAATGGAATATTGCCCTTTTTGTGATTCAGAATCCATTGTAATGACAGTGACTTTGAGAATGCTCCAGCATCTCGTAAGAGAAAATGGAGAGCGCACCTAGGTGAGAGTCATTGTACTGGGTTGCACAGTAGCCGGCTGGATCCGGCTGACAATCCCTGAGACATTCCCTTCTGTTCTCAACTCACCCACTCCAGTAGGGCTTTTGTCATTAAATTATGTTTTAATTATCTCAGTCTAAGAGTAAGTATAGGGCAAAGATTGAACACAACATTTAAACAGTTCTCTCAAACTAGCTTTACCTTTCTTAGGGAAGTAATTCCTGGACTAATAAAAAATTCCTGATCTGAGAACAAAAGAAAAAGTTGCTAAGAAAAGCAACTTTTATTTATTCAACAGATATTTATGGAGCATCTGCTTTGTACCAAACGCACACATATACACGGAGTAAACACACTGTGGGCTATACAAATGACAATATATGACATCTGTTGAATGCTTGCTTTGTGACAGGCAGTATACTTGCTATTTTAAAAACTTTCTATCAGTTTATCCTTCCAGGAACAATATGAATAGATGTAGTTACCCCTGCTTTACATATGAGAAAAATGAGATTGGAGTCTTGAAATAACTTACTTTAGGTGACCCAGTTAATAAGTGACAGGACAGGGTGTTAAGCCCAGCCTGATGAAGAGTCCTCATCTCAACCATTACACTCCATCCTCCAGTCAGATCTGGGAATCTGTATATTTTGAAACCACCTCAAATGAATACGATTAAAGTGGAACGTGAGAAGCCTTGATATAATCACACTCCCTCATTTTCCTGATCAGAAATCAAACCTAAAGAAGTGATTTTTCAGAAAACACACAATTAATGGCAGAATGAAATCCAGAGAGCCACCTCCTTTCTGCCATCAAAACCACATTGGCTCAGTCTAGGAGTCAGACAGGTAAATAATTCAACAATTACAATGAATGTATAGGCAAATCTTGATTATCCTTGGCTTCCTCTTCTAATTACTTGCTGTCTGGATGTTTGACGGTTATCTAGTTTCTCTCCCAGAGGGAAAGAAAAACCAGGTGAAACTCAATTATTTCATTTGTGCTAATGTTAACTGATAAGAACTCTAATATTAAAAAGAAAAAAAAGGAAAAAAGCTAGAGAGGTTTGGTGGCAGAAAAGGCTAGCATAAATTCCTAAAATAAGCCCTTCAGGTGGTCCCTGGTTTTCCATGTTACCAGTAACTCCCATTGCTGCAGTGAAGGCTGAAAATGAGGAAAGAGGCAAAATGTACACTCTCCATCTAACACTACCATTCTACCACTCTTCTGCTTGTCCACCCTATGACTACCCTACTGCTGAGATTTAGGAAAAATGAAATAAATAAAGGGAGTATGATGAATTATTCTAGAATAATTACTACTTTTGGAGAGTGGAAGAGTTATAGCACCAAAAACAAAATAGGTCACTGTTCATCCATCCTCAATCTCAAGCACAGATATGATAGTCATACATTGTCATTAAACAAATAGACTTAGCCTGCCTATAACATCCCCACTTCTACCTTTTTTCCTCCCTTTTTAACCTACCCTTGAATCACAGGGATGCAGAGAGACTATGCAAGAACTATGGGGACTGCTGCCTTTTCTCAATGACTCTGACCAAATGATTTCCTTTATTTAAAGTCATTTATGATTTTACTTTCATTAACAACTGATTTTACTTAAAATCATTTTTGATTGTTGATTTGAAGTTTGTTAATGAGTTGAATTCATTAACAAGGCAAACAAAATATTACATGATGTTTTGGCTATGATTTCTCATCACCCACAACACTGCCTCTCATTAAAACTTCAAAGAATACTAAACAAGCTATAGTCCCCTGCCTGTTGAGTTCTGTGCTCCTGCATTATGTCCATACTCTACCTGGAATTCCTTCCTCACCTGTCCTCTTGATAAATGCCCATTCATTGCTCAAAACCCTGCTCAGACAGCACCACGCCTGTGAATTCTTTCTTAACCTTCTGCTACATCCCCCAGAGTAATGATCTCTCACATGTGTAGGAGGCCACTTCTGTTCCTTTATATATTCTCTATTATCACTCTTAGTCTGTGTAATGTTTTGTTTTTTTTTCCATGTCTTTCTCATCTGTTAGACTACAGGTCCTTGGGAATCTATCCATGTAAACTTTGATCAGTGTATCTGAAAAGTTAGGAAACATACGATTAACATATTTTTAAATAGTATGTTACATTTTGAAATATGCTCAGTATGTTCAAAGCAATAGATCCACTTGTCATACACTACAGAATGTCCAAAACAAATTTGGAAAAAAAGGAAAACATAGTGTATATATTATACTTTTTCACATTACCCCATTACTTTAAATTTAGAGGTACTTAACCTAAAAAGGTTTCTGGAGTTTAAAGAAAAACATATTGTTTGGGCAGGAGTCCTAGGGACCTACGCTGCAGAGGTGACTGAGGCTGCCTCCCTGCGAAGCGGCCTCAGCTGTGTGCCAGCAAACAAGACTTCAAACGGCGCCTTAACTTTCGCGTCCCTTGGACAGGGATGTGGACATGCTTCAGAAATGGAAAACAATTCCTCAGGGGAAGCTCCTGGCTACCCCGCTACCACTGATGCCTGTGCATGTAAATCTCTGTAAGGCTGAGCTTTCAACATTTGTCTTCACCTGGACACAGCCAGAGTTCTGGCAGCTGGCGTGTGGTAGGTGTTGGTGTGTGTGTGTGTGTTGTGTGTGTGACATACTCTGGCATTTATATTTCGTTTTCCTTATTTTCTCGCTAGCTCATTACCACACCCCTCCAATACACACACTTGGCAGTACCTAATTGCTCACTCATGTCCATCTTTGCTTGGCGTTTGGGAAGAAGGTAAAAGGAGGCAGATGAGGGAAAAAGGAGGGGAGGGGGAGTACAATCGCGCCCCACGCCAGGCTGCGTTTGTTCGAGCAGGAACGGCGGCGGAGGTCTTCGGAGGATAACGGAAATGCCCCATTACATGCTCGCCGCGCCGCGTGTCGCGTGCCGGCGCCCCCAGCCTGACGGTGGCGGCGGGAGGGGGCTGCGCTCGGCCCCGGGCGTCGGGCTCCCCAGTGTCGCCGCGAGATCTGGGGACGGAGGCTGCGCCGGCGCCGCTCTCCCTTCCGTTCGCCGTGGCGGGCAGCCGCCGGCCCCTGCCGGCGAGTCCCGCCGCCGGGCGGCTGCAGGTGCCACGTGGCCCGTTCCCGGCGGGAGTCAAACGCTGAGCTGGCCGGACCTTCCCAACGTCCCGCTCAGAGAGGTCTCGTGGCGTGGCGGAGGCCCCCGGCCCGGTTCCCGCGGCCTGTGGGCGGGCGCAGAAGGCGCGGGGGCGGCGGCTGCTCCCGGCGCGAAGGCGCGGCGCGGCCACGGTCACGGCCCCACCGGGCTCGGCGGAAGCGCCGGCTCCGAGGGAGGGGGCTGCCGCGCCCAGCAGACCCGGGCCCCGGCCCTAGCGGCGCCCCGGGCAGGAGCCGACCAGCGGGCCGTTACGCTGGCGGCGAGGAGGGCCGGTCAGGCTGAGCGCCGACCCGCGCGTGGCGGGCGAGGCAGCCCACCGCGCGTCCGCCCGCCCGCCCTGAGACTTGCACTTGCACACACCGAGCCCGCTCGGCCCGGCAACACCGGCGGCTGCTCGGCGTCTGCCACCTCCGGACCCGGAGCGTGCCAGCGCCAGCCTCGGCGAGCTGGGACTTCCCGGATGGGGCCATGCTTTTCTTCCAGACAATCAGGGTCCTCGCCTCCCGGCGATCTTTCTAGGCCAGGCCTCCAGAGATTATTCGAGGCGGATTTCCTCTCTGCGGCACTACACTGGTAACTCTTTTCTCTGAGAACACCGAGAACACGGCCGAGTATTTGGCGAGGGGACCACCACGACCAAAAAACCCACACAGCCCAGCGTGCGGTGGATTGTTTTGACCAGCTGGTTAATGGGAATAGAAGTTCGCTTTTTGATAGCCTTGATTTTCGGCTTTTAAAAGTTACTTTTTGGCCTCCCAGAGTGCTAGGATTACAGGCGTGAGCCACCATGCCCGACCACAAAATTTTTTTTAAAGAAACTTTTGTGATTGGTCCTTGGTACAATTTTGCTCCTCTAAATATTAGAATAAAACATGTGCATTTGTCAGTATGCAATTGCTTACACACATTTGAAGTTGAATAGTGTTGTCCTTGTCAAACTTAAAAATTGTTTAGGCTTATCTTTAGGCACAAAGAGCAATCTGCATTCTTAAATGCCACCGTGACCTCTATCCCATGGTTTAACAGCTGTAGGGCTACCCACAGAAAGAGCTGGGCCTCTGGTTTCTCTTAGGATTTTAAACCGAATTAGGAAACTCTCCCACCCGGACTTCCTCACGTTCCTTCCCCTACCTGGACAACAAGTTAGTCCTTTCCATATCGTCTTTGAATTCCTCCTCACCCCTCGCAAATAAATTTGATATTTTTCTACAAATTTTATACTACCTTAATTAGCATTCACCATTATTTTGGGGGAGAGTCTGTATTCTAATGTCATGATACGGACTTCTCATGTCAGTGGAAGTTCTGACAATTAAGTGTGCTATTGAAATCCCACCCCCTTTAGTAGTTATGGCTGCATTTCTAAAATTTGTTATGGTGTTGGTAAAATTACATTAAAAGTAGATCCCATCGGCCGGATGCGGTGGCACACAGCACACCTGTAATCAATCCTAACACGCTGGAAGGCTGAGACAGGAGGCTCGCTTGGGGTCAAGAGTCCGAGACCAGCCTGAGCAAGAGTGAGACTGTCTTTACCGAAAATAGAAAAAATTAGCCGGGTGTGCTGGCACTCGCCTGTAGTCCTAGCTACTGGGAAGGCTTGAGGCAGGAAGATCGCTGGAGCCCAGTAACCTGAGGTTGCTGTGAGCTGTGATGATGCCACTGCACCCTACCCAGAGCAACAGAGTGAGACTCTGTCAAAAAAAAAAGGGGGGGGGAGATACTATCAATATGTTTATCCATAGCTGTAATAAAATAAAAACATCTTAGTGTCGTGTTGTGATAAATTCCGTAATTAAAGACTGTAATCCTTCCTTACCTTCCAAAGGTATTTCAGGAATTAATTAGAGCTTTTAATTGTGCATGAAGTTTATAGAGTAAGGGCACAAGCTTGTTACTATTACATACCTTTTTATTTGGATAATTTAACAGTTATCACTTTTAAAAGCTGCTTAGAGGTAATTGCAATAGCCAGTCTCTAAATTTTTACATTGGACATTTCTTTTCTTCAAAAAAAAAAAAAATTACTGCTCCAGAAATGTATTTTTAATTTAGAGAAAAATGTGCTCATTTCCGAGGAAATGTAGATTTGGAGACTTATAATGCTTCTACGGTAATTTTGAAAACTCAAGTGCTGTGGTTTATCAAGTGAGGTAGGTTTTCAGGAAAAACCCAGCCCCTTTCGACCCCCTTTCGCCCCCCTCTTGGTCTGGGCCAATCCGAGCTGCCTGGGCTCCGCGCTCTCGGAAAGGGGCTGCGCCGCAGATGCCTGGCTTTGCTCGCAGACACACACCCTGCCAGAACCGGCTGAGTCCTCCCAGTGTCCCTTCGGAGAAGCCTCGGCATCGTTACCACAGTAATCAAACGTTTCTATGGATCAGTAGTTCCCAACTTCTCATAATGACCAGAACAGAAGCCCTTTTAAAATTCAACATGATTCAAGAGACCTCACCACCACTGCCATCCAGACTGCAGTAGCTGTACTTTTAAATTCTCTATTGAGAAAACTTAAAAACAATCTTTAAAACTGCAAAGCAGCCTGTAATTCTTTCAGATTGCTTTATTTATTGCATTATAGCATTCGAATACATCTGAATTTATTTATTTATACTGGACGCTAAGTTTGCAGGCACTGCTTGGTGCACAGATGGGCTTTGCCCGCCCCTTGCACAAGGAAGCCCCCAGACACCCAGGGTCGCAAGCCCCAGGCCTGGCAGCTGCGGTAGACTCAGAGGCGGTGGGTCCCGCTTTCCACCCCAAACGTTTAAATTAGTCGGATTCCCAGGACTGCAGGGCGCTCTTCCTGCTCGTCGCCGGGGCACCGCGGTGCATCTGCTGCCCCCTATCGGTTGTGAAAACAATAACCCGAACCCGGTTGGAATCAACTCGAGGCCTTTCGAATAAAAGAATATTCCAGGACTACGCAGTAGCGAGAGGACTCTCAGAGAGCTTGTTTTCTGCAGAAGGCTCGGACTGCCTCGTTCGAACGCAGTTGTTCGCAAGTGAGGGAAAAAGCACGCTGGATCTGGAAAGGAATCTGACAATGTCTGCTTCGGTGAAGGGGGTGGGGGAGGTTCAAGATTCACCCAAGGGTCGATTTGTTTTCCACCCCCGCCCCCTCCCATCCAGCAACCCGCCTCAGCCCTATGAAAAGCACTCGCCCTCAGCCGGGAAGGGGACATGCCTTAGGGCGCGGTGCGGTGATTTCCCGGTCCCCTAAGGCACCTGTCCCCTCATATTACACCTTGAGCAGAGTCCAGGGACCTACGCTGCAGAGGTGACTGAGGCTGCCCTCCCTGCGAAGCCGGCCTCAGCTGTGTGCAGCAAACAGACTTCAAACGGCGCCTTACTTCTCGCGTCCCTTGGACAGGGATGTGGACATGCTTCAGAAAAGTAAAACAATTCCTCAGGAGGAAGCTCCTGGCTACCCCGCTACCACTGATGCCTGTGCATGTCAAATCTCCTAAGGCTGAGCTTTCAAAATTTGTCTTCACCTGGACACAGCCAAGATTGCTGGCAGGCTGG